CCCCCCCCACCTCTATTCAAGCTTGGCTTCTCCATTTTTACATAAATTGCCTCTTTCACACACCTTTTAAACCAGTCCTCCTCCCTGTCTAGGATGTGTACTTGGCTGTCTTCAAAGGAGTGACCTTTTTCCTTTAGAAGTAGGTATACTGCCGAATCCTGACCAGAGGGTTTTGCTATTCTATACTGTGTCATACGCTGGTGTAGCTGCTGTTTTGTTTCACCGACATACAATTCTGAGGACTCCTCACTGCATACACAATGTTGTTCATCTTGTGTTTTGGCGTTAGGTCTTTTGGGTGAACCAGTTGTTGCCTCAGTGTATTGCTGGGTTTAAAGCAGACAGGGATGTGATGTTTTTTAAAAACCCTTCTGAGTTTCTCAGACACCCCAGCTACATATGGGATGACCAAATGCTTCTGTTTGTCATGCTTTTCATCCTCACAGGAACTCTTGGCATTCTTTCCTCTTCTTTCTGTTTTGACAAAAGCCCAGTCTGGATACCCGCAAGTTTTAAGGGTCCTTTGTCTTGGCTTCTGTTCTGGTGGGGATTTTCTCTGCCCGGTGGTGTAGAGTCCTGATGACTCCCAGTTTGTGGTCTAAAGGTTGGTGGGAGTCAAATAGCAGGTACTGGTCTGTGTGTGTTGGTTTTCAGTAGGCCTCTATTTCCAGCCTCCTTCCCTCTTCTACTGTTACTAAACAATCCAAAAAAGCCAGTTTGTTGTTTTGTATATCTTCCCGCATAAACTTGATGTTATGATCCACTGAGTTGATATGGTCAGTGAAAACCTGTAACTCTTGTTTGTGAATCTTAACCCAAGTGTCATCCACATATCTGAACCAATGACTGGGTGTAATTCCCTTGAAGGTGGTCAGGGCCTTGCTTTCAACTTCCTCCATGTACAGGTTTGCCACAATAGGTGAAACTGGTGATCTCATGGCACAACCATGTTTCTGCCTGTAGAACTTGTTCTTGTACTTGAAATAGGTGGTACTCAGGCAATGGTCCAAATAAGGCACACACTTGATCTGGATTAAGTTCTGTTCTGCTGCCTATGGTGTTGTCTAGTAGCAACCGTTTTCACTTTTTCAATTGCCTCTGTGGTGGATATGCAGGTGAAGAGGGAGGTGACATCATAGGATACCATTGTTTCTTCTGTGCCCAATATTAAGTTCTTGATTTTGTTTGTGAAATGTGGTGTTGTGTATTTCCAACCAAAGGGGCAAGTATTTTTTTTTGCCACGTTATAATTACCAGAGTTTATGCTGCTGACAATGGGCCTGAGAGGGGTCCCATCCTTATGTATCTTCGGAAGTCCATATATACACGGAGGGGCTTCACCAGGGTAGAGGCGATGATGCATAGCCCGATCAACGGCTTTGTCCTTTTCCAGCTGTTCTAGTAGATCTATAGCTTTCTTCTTAACCACGTAACCACTGGTTGGGTCCCTTCTTAAGGCTTCATATGTGTTGTTATCATTTCAGAAGTGTAGTCAGATGTATTAAGAACTGTGCATCTTCCTTTATCAGCAGGCAGGATGGTGATATTCTTGTCTGTCTTCAGGGATGTGGCCGCCCTCCTTTCTTGTGTAGTCAGGTTTGACGAAGGTGGTTTGACACTGGCCAGGGCTGCAGACACTTTTAGGCGAAGTTGTTCAGCCTCACCCTGTGGCACTTTGTTACTGTGGATCGAGGCCTCAGTAGCTAAGAATATCCACTACAGGGATGGTTCTTGGTGTGATTGCGAAATTCAACCATTTAGCAAGGACATCCATCTTAGAATGGGTGAGAACCAGCGGCGGAGCTACCGCCGGTGCGGCTGCCCCAGGGCCCAAGGTTAGGGGGGCCCATTGATGGGCGGACTGCCCTGTAGTGGCATATGGCAGGCCGGGCAGCACAGAGGCTCTGGGGCGGCCTGTCTGCTCAACTGCTGCTCGTAGCTGGGAGCGCTGCGGGGGCCCGTATACCGCCTGCAATGTAGCTGCCTGAATACAATGCAGGAGGTATACAGGACACACCGCCGGATCACCCCTCTTCTGGCGCGGGCACTGTTATTTGGTTTAATTAGAAAAATGGATTTTAACAGGGAATATTACACTGTAATGTTCCCTATTATAACCTATTTCTCTATCCCAGTCTGTTGGATTAAATATTGCAGTCCTGATTCCAGTGTATCCCCGAGTCCAGTGCGTCCCTGAGTCCAGTGCGTCCCTGAGTCTATTGTCTGCCACATACAATGCTGTTTTAACACCTCTCTCTGGGCAGGCTAATACCACCTCCTAGACTCCAAATATGCAAATACAATCAACACCTGGTTGTGATTAACAGATTACGTGGATTGGAGCAACATTCACCATATTTATTCCCAGATAATTTTTTGTGCAAGTCATTCTGAATTGAGAAAGCTGGTTGGATGACCAGTGAAACGTCTTCAAGAAAAATACAGCAAGTCCAGTTGCCCTGACTTATTTTTTACAGATATACCATGACCTGGATGAATGAGAACCTTCACAGACAGTATGAAACTCCCACTTTTTCTTACTTTGTTCTGTTGTACTGCCTTTATTATTGCAGGTCTTCTGAATATTTCCTATTTGTAAAAGCTGGTCTATTCACACTGCTTTACAGAACCTAGTCTTGTCACTTTTCCTGCTCCAATAATGTCCTTTAAAAATTGTTTATAATTTTTTTCTATGTGGCCTCTGTAATGAATACAGGACCTAGAAAACCTCTAGTAGGTGTTGTACTCACTCCTGTATTTTTAACATTTCTATGCTTGTTGATGGCCAACGATAAAACCATGTAGCAACAAGTACATTTTGAACAAGGTCATCATGAGCAAAAAGCCAAGAATGATGCACAGTAGACATGAATCGAAATTCGGACGAATTTTCGGACATTCGGATGTATCCGAATTCCGAATTACAAATATAACAAATGCAAACGAATCCGAATTTCCGTTTCCGAAATTCGGTAGCGGTAGTTCGTTCGACCGTTCGTTTCGTTTTCGTTTCGTATTCGTTTCGTTCGTTGGAGCAAAGTGACATTAGAGAAGGAGAAAAAAAATGTTCCCCCTCAAATGTCACTTTTCTGCAAACGAACGAATGAACGAACTGAATAAGAAACGAAACGAACGTTCGAACGAACTACCGCTACCGAATTTCGTCCGAATTCGAATTGACTTTCATACCCGAATCCCGAAAAACTAAATAACACAAATACGTATTTAAAACGAACCAAAACAAATTTTTTGGCAGTGCACATGTCTAATGCACAGTATAATGTAATATATGGGTACACAAAGCTCCAGTTTGCATGTAATTCCTATTTCCCAAATTTTATTAGTTTTCTTGCCTTTATTAATAATTGGTGGAGTTATAAAGGTGACAATACACTTTTTATAGTAACCCAAACTTCAACAGATGGTTAAGACTTGGGTAGAGGTTCACATATTATTTTACATGTGTTTGTTATGTGGCTGTAAACCTAAGTGATGTAAACCTGTTTTCATTAAAACATAGGTACAGTAATACCTGCATTAGTCAACATGGAATACAGTTTTTTAGTTTGAATATTTTACTGTCCACAGATACTCTGCACAACTCTTACCTGTAGGAAAACTGCTGAGTCCTGCTTGTATATCTTTACTAGTTGCATGTTGGAGATTGTGTCAATGCAACCCATAGAAAGCCCAGCTACTGCCATTATTACTGCAAGCACCACAACATGTCGGCAAAATGGAATTATAACAAACACCACGGAGATGATCAGAGTTGATGTGAGAAGGACAAACAAACACAGCTTCAACCTGTGGATAGCAGAAGTGGTAACAATATTCAAAAGAAAAACAAGGTGTAACTAAAGACATAGATTTAGTTAATAAGGGTATCCTTGGGTCAGCATTATATCTAACTAAATACATCTTCTAAAAACTTGATTAATTCAGAATGAGCATATACTAAAGAAAAATGCATACAAAAAACTTTATTTTAGTCATGTAAATGTGGAATATTAAATAATTTTCATTATGTTCTCTTCTTTTCCAGGTAGCTGTAGTCTTATCATCACATCTTTACCATAGTATACTTTTTAGTTATGCTGAAAGGTTTAGTCCAAGATTTCAAGCAGAAAAACACAGATTTGTTTTCTGTGCAGTCTCTTCAGCTAGCACAGTGCTCTGGGAATCCCCTGTCATATTTTAAATGTTTATTTGTAAGCAAAGATTGCATATACTGAATTTATAGTGAACACAGATAGAACTATGTTAAAGGACCATAGGATGTACCTGTATTCCCTGGACCTTAAGTGATGACATCGAGATTCAAGGACCCCGCCCCCACCATTGCATCATCTGCTATAATTTCTGGGCTCTCCTGCTCCTCCAGGGAGTCTGGGATGACAAAGGAGGACTTCAGGATGGAGTGCAGGAGCAGACTGAGTAAATTCTGTTACCTGATCTGCTCTGCGGTTATTTAATCCAAAGCAATGTCCTCTCAGCACTTCTAGGTCCAGAGCTGTCACATTCCTGGCTGGAATGCCAGGTAAACAGTCCTGTGCTTGATCAGCTGGAGTAGAGTGCAGGGGAGACATAAGGAGTCAAATAGAACCCTGATGTCTCCATAAAGAGTACATATCACCTGCCAATGCTATTACATTGGTGAGCTGTGAAAGCTTTTAAAACGTCGCCTATGGCCATTTCAAGGATGCACGCAACTTCATGCAATTCATTTTAGTGTATTTTTCCCTAAAAATATTCATTTGATAAACATTTGTGCAAATATTGTGCAACATAAAAAAATTGCAACTACCTTTTTATTTTACAGGGCCTCTGCTTTCATAAAATATATAATTGGGTGTTTAAGTCGTTTTATAGCCAAAATAAACTTTTAACGTGTGCAAAAATAAAAAAATAAAGGTGGTAAACAAAAAGCAAAAAAAATAAAACCAACTAGACAAAATTGACTCTGGAGCTAATAGTAAATAGGTCAGAGACATTGTATTGTCATCAGCTGAGAACTAACTAGATTCTTCCCCAAAAATATTCAGATCCATAAAATTTATTTTATTTATTTAACATTTATAAATAGGTTCCAGACCTCACCCTTACACCCCATTCACACCTAGGCGTATTGTAATATGCGCGTCTGTCGCGCGTTTTTTTTTACCGCGATTCGCGGTAAAAAAGTTGCGCGATGGTCGCGCGATTCCAAAGGCTACTTGGCTGTATCCCAATGGAAAACGCCCTACAAAACGGCCCAAACTAGTCCCGGGACCTTTTCAGGTGTGGGCTGTTTTGTAGGGCGTTAGGGACGGGCGGAAATACGGCGAGGTGGGAACGACGGCATTGACTACAATGCAATTTATATTTTTGACCGTTTTGTAGAGCGTTCGTCGAGCGTAGAACGCCCTACAAAACGGTCAGGTGTGAACGCAGCCTAAGGGCTCATTCACACTTTTGCATTGTATTTATGTGTGTTGTGCCGCAACACATGTTATTGCACGTGGCATACATTGTGTTTCAGTGCCATTCAATTTCAATGGCACCCCAACACTCTACGGGAACTCACTTGCATTCCAGTGCTCCACAATGCATGGTAACGCACTACAGATTGTTATGGTGCATGGCTTATTTTTTGATCGTGTGTGTGTTGGCAGCCCTTTAATTTGAATGACCGCCTTCACACAATGCACATTAATGCTTGCATGTTAATATAATGCACTAGGGTGCATAAATGTGAATGGGCCATTAAAGTTATATCAAAACAATCAATCATATCATTTAATATAAACTTTATTATTAAACATAAAACATCATATTTTGTGCTTTTATCTTAATCAAGTGTCTAAAAATTGAATCTGGTATCTGTAGAAGTATATAGTTCCAGTAATACTGTGGCTCTAAAGATACAATGTTCCAATATTTTATAAATGTCAATAAAGAACTGTTGCCATGTGTATATACACAAGAATGATGAGTAGTATGAGTAGTAACAATGTACCTGATGCACTGGAATAAAAGAAGCATACAGGAAAGTTTTCCAGTAAACACCAGATGTCCCAAATGCAGACAGCTCATGTCAAAAGATTTTATAAAAAAAGACAAATTGATCAAAAAGTATAGTTTCCCTTTCTCCTAAAAGGGAGGCTTAAGAGGTAAGAAGGGGTAATCTTGACTAGAGCTGCAGCTAACGATTATTTTTACAATCGATTAGTTGGCCGATTATTAAGTTTGATTAATTGGATAAAAAATAAAATGCATTTTAAAAAATGGCTCCAGTGATGGACTACTAGTTTGTATTGAGATTGTAGTCCATCACAGGAGCAAGCTTGGAGCGGTGGAAGTAACAACAAAAAAAAAGTGTGGTGTGCAATATAGTGAAATGAAAAGTGTAAAATTATACAGCAATGAATGCAGAATGGCACCGGCTATAGCGGAATACAATAAATCCCAGCAATAGTACATTATAACTGGTGGTATTCTGGGTGTTGTAGTCCTCTATAGCTAGTGGTATTCGGCATTGCACCACTGTATAATGTATTATTGCTGGGATTTGTTGTACTCCTCTATAGCTGGTGGTATTGCGCTGTATAATGTAGTATTCCTTGATTTGTAGTCCTCTATACAGCGCAATGCAGAATACCACCAGCTATAGAGGAGTACAACAAATCACAGCAATACATTGTACATACAGTGTATAATGTATTGCTGGGATTTGTATTCCTCTATAGCTGATGGTACATTGTGCTGTATAAAACTTGTTTCTGAGATCGGGCCTGTCTATCGGCGGTACATTGTGGTACATTGTGCTGTATAAAACTTGTTTCTGAGATCGGGCCTGTATCGGCGGCTGTCATTCGCCCACACCTGCTCCTCCTCCTCCTCCTCCTTCTCCCTGCGTCCCTGTGCCGATCGTGGATTTGGGTGGGCAGGGAGCATGTGGAGCGTGGATGCGGCGAGCGTTAGGTGGGGAGGAAGTGTGGCGCGCAGCGTATGTGGAGCCGTGAAAAGGGCCAACCAATCGGAAGCCGATTAATCGATGATTGAAAAAGTTGGCAACTTTTTCAATCATCGATTATGTCGATTAGTTGTGGCAGCCCTAATCTTGACTGTATCTCAGGATGTACTAATTGTTTTAATGTAAATTTAATTGAAGGCAATATTTTTAATACATAATTTCCATCTCAGGCAGGCTGTGTGGCGTCTTAAAGGTGGCTGTGCGTGGTCTCAGAAGCTGTGTGGCGTCTTAAAGGGGGCTGTGCGTGGTCTCAGAAGCCGTGTGGTGTCTTAAAGGGGGCTGTGCGTGGTCTCAGAAGCTGTGTGGCATCTCAGGAGGACTGTGCGGGGTCTTAGAAGACATGTATGGAGTATATAGAGGCCTGTGCAGGGTCTCAGGGGGCTCTGTGGTACTCACCTGGGGTCTGGAGACTCTCATGGGCAGGTGCAGGCAGCATGGTTCCCCAAGAAGGAGGAGATATGTTTCAAGCGCCATGAGGTCCCCAGAAGGCTGATGGGACCTTACGGCAGCTGCTTTCATTTAAAAATTTTATGTGACAGTAAAGGCGCTTAGTATCAGGGCATTTTCACGAGTATGAGTACTTGTGAAAATGCCCAGTTTCGGCATCGATACCTATACCACTATCGGTGCCGATACTGGTAATGGCAGGTGAGGCTCAGCCTCACTGGTTTGGGTACAGTGTTTTTTTGCCTCCATCCTGGAAAGTAGCACCCAAGGCGAATGCCTTGTTTGCCTTGCAGCAGATACGCCCCTGCCTGAAATGTGCAATGTCATGGTTTTGCATTTCATAGTGTGGGTTATCAGCACCCGGGGGAAAGTATTGTGCCCCCTACCGCACCTTTATGTGTGTGAGAAGGGGGGGTGTTTGTTTACCATTTTTATTATTTTTTTATTATTTTCTTTTCTTTCACTTTACTGTTGAGGGCTTCAGAGAAATATTAGGTGTCTAAACAGACCCCTGGTATTTCCCATTTGAAATAGAAAAAAAGATTGCACTAAATGAACAGGAGCACTCAGTACAGGAGCACTCACAAACTGAGGTGCTATGGTATTTTCCCCAGTTATTTCTGGAAAGGAAACCTCTGTACTGAGTGCTCCTATCCATTCAGAAACTGAGTAAGTGATTACTATGTCCCCCAGTCATTAATGAACAGGAAGTGATGTGTAGCACTTCCTGTTCATAACTGGGGACATAGTAAGCTCACCCCAGTGTCAGTAGTGCTCACCCCAGTGTTTGCTCAGTACACGGAAGGATCAGAAAAATATCTCACATTTGCTGGTCCTCCGCTCGGCATCCTGAAGCTCCTGGCTCCTCACAACTCTGCATTCCATCCTGACATGACCAGTTTGCTCAGCATCTCGACTCCTCCTGTCACTGCTCTCTTCTGCCTGCTGGGTGCTGGCAGCTGGATCGGCTCTGTGTACCCTCCAATCCCTGCTGCCTCTGCCGAGATGGGTGGGAGTGCAGCGGGGTTCGGAGAGGACACAGATTACGGCATGCAGCCAGCTCCCAGCAGGGAGGAGACAGTTGCAGAGCAGCGCTGGCTTGCAACCTGAGCCTGGGCCCCCCTTCTGACCCGATGGGGCCCGGCCCCAGCAGCGCAGATCCGGTGGCTTCGGAGGAGGCTGGGACCCCTGCAGCGCCGCCGATGTTCTGATCTCGGACCGGCCGGAAGTGACTTCTGGTCGGTCCGGCGGCAGAGGAGGCCAGGCCGTAGGAGCAGGTAAGAGGAGCTGGAAGGGAGATGCAGCCCGGCCAGCCCACCTGAGACCCCTGCAGAGCCCACCATAT